TTTAAATCAAAACAGGTGATAAGCTCAACCAGGTGCTTAGAACTGATCCACATCCATCCATGTGGACCAATGAGAGTTCAAAGCAAGGGAGGAAAAATATATGTGTTCGAATTAATTGATGATTATACTAGGTACACTTGGACACTATTTATCGCATCAAAAGATGATGCATTTGAAGCTTTCTGTTCACTAATGAGAAAACTTCAAAATAAATATGAGAAACAATTAATAACAATCAGATCCGATCATGGAACTGAATTTGAGAACTCAAAATTTTCCCAATATTGTGATGTTTATGGAGTTGATCAAAATTTTTCTGCCCCCAAAACCCTTCAGCAATTCGGTGTGGTTGAAAGAAAGAATAGTTACCTGTAAGAAATGGCTAGAACCATGATGATTGCAAATAAAATCACCAATTAGTTATAGGCTGAAGTTATAATTACTGCCTGTTATACTATAAATAGATGTATGTTCTGACCTGTGTTAGATAAAACTCCCTATGAATTACTAAAAGGTAGAAAAACCAACATATCTCATCTAAGAGTGTTTGGGTGTAAGTGTTTTATTCGAAACAATGGGAAAAATCTGCAAAGTAAAATTGATGCTAGGAGTGACAAAGTATTTCTCTAGGATTCTCTACACAAAGTAAAACTTATAGGGTACTTAATAAAAGAACAATGTGTGTAGAAGAGTGTTTGCATGTTATATTTGATGAAACCAACACTATATCAAACAAAGATGTGCAGGTAACTGAAGTCCTGCAAAAGAGCATACAATCTCTTAACAGGAACATGTACAAGAAATAGGTTCCTCTAATAAAGGCAATAAAGAGTGTACTGAAACACATGAGACAAGTGAGGGTTTTGATGAGATAACTGAAGAAAACCAATTAGATTATGAAGGTCAAGATAGGGAACAATCAAATTGGACAATTTGCTTACTGATCTCTCTTCTTGAATAACCACCAGATCAGGAATAAATAACCATTGTGCCCATAATGCATTCTTATCCATGGTGGGATAAAAGAAGATAAGTGAAGCTCTCCTAGATGTAGACTGGATTATAGCATGGAAGAAGAACTAAATCAATTTGAAAGAAGTAAAGTTCGGTATCTAGTACCTAAGCCATCAAACAGAACTATAATTGGTACAAAGTGGATGTTTAGAAACAAGTTAGATGAACATGGTACCATAATAAGAAACAGAGCTAGGTTAGTAGTTCAGGGGTACAATCAAGAACAAGGGATAGACTATGATGAAACATTCACACATGTAGCAAGATTTGAGGCTATAAGATTACTCATAGCATTTGCATCTCACATGGGATTCACTCTATATCAAATGGACATAAAAAGTGCATTACTCAATGGGTTACTACAAGAAGAAGTCTTTGTCAAACAACCTCTTGGCTTTGAGAACAATGACCTTCCTGACTATGCCTATGGAGTTGACAAGGCTCTTTATGGGTTAAAACAAGCTCCAAGGGTATGGTATGAAAGATTGTCAAAATCTCTTCTAAGTCATGGCAGTTCAAGCGGTAAAATTGACATCACACTTTTTCTTAGAAATAAAGGAAAGGACCTTATGATTTTGCAAGTACACGTTGACGACATTTTTTTTGGAGCAACAAATAAGGATCTCATAAATGAATTTGCTAACCTTATGAGCAGTGAGTTTGAGATGAGTATGAATGGTGAATTAAACTACTTTCTAGGGCTTCAAATAAAGCAAACACCTGCAGGTATGTTCACTCATCAACAAAAATATGTCAAGGAATTTTTTAAAAGGTTCAAGATGGAAGATGCTAAACAAATTGATACTCCAATAGCCAAAGCAGTAAGTGAGACCTCGAAGGAACATGTTCTTCTTTAGAGGTATAATTGGTTCACTTTTGTATCTTACTTCCAACATTCTTGATACGGTGTTTAGTGTGGGCCTGTGTGCTTGTTTTCCAGACAATCCTAAGGAATTCCATTTCCAAGCAGTCAAAAGAATTCCCATATACTTGAAAGGGACAACTGATATAGGACTATGATATCCGAAAGGGGAGTAACTTTGAATTAGTAGGATATGGTAATGCAGACTATGCAGGTTATCTAGAAGATAGAAAAAGTACCACATGTATGGCTCACTTCTTAAGATCATGTTTAGTCTCGTGGGAATCAAAGAAACAAAACTCGGTTGCATCTGAGGCTAAATATGTAGAAGCTACCTCATGTTGTGCTCAACATTTATGGATCAAGCAACAATTGAGTGATTCTTGTCTCAATATTAGACGTGTTCCTATATTATAATAATACCAGTGCAATTAACATTGAAGAATACCGTACAACATAATAGAACTAAACACATCAACATCCTTAATAATTTTCTAAGGGACAACGTAGAAAAGGAATTAATTTCAATGAACTTTTGCTGTACTGAACAACAACTTGCGGACATCTTTACTAAGGCACTAGCAAGGGAACATTTTAAAAGGAACAGGTTGGAACTAGGAATGATGAAACTCCCATGAGCATCTCGGATAATAAAATGAGATGGGATGGGATTCCAAGAATTAAATTCTTTTAATATTCATACAGACTTGTAACTAAATATTCTACTATTATCAGGAAATTAGAAGCACAAGGAATTAACTCCTACAGAGGAAGGTACGTATACTACACTTACTAAATGAATACTAAAATATTTTGCTTATGTACATTATATGTTCCCTCATTAAACTTGTGTCAGGAATCATGAATTAAAACCGCTAAAAATTCAATCGCCTTTTTTAAACCATCAAATCCACCTGTTTTGATTTTTCTAGAAAAACCCTTCCATTTCCCGAGCCATTTCTCTCTCTCTCTCTCTCTCTCTCTCTAAACTCTGTTTCTTGGGACTTTTTAAAAAAAAGTGAAATTAAGGTTTCAAAATAAATGGGAAGTGACATAAGTCTTAAGTATTGGGTGTAGGTGACAATTATGTGATTAATAATTAAGGATTGTGGAGTTGCCCTCAAGTTTATAAGTTGACAGTTTGGTCCACTGAATTAAATGAAGGGAAAAGGGTAATGTCACAATACCTAATTTGACCAACTTTTGGTGGGGATTAAATAAGGGTAAAATGGTAAATTGACTATAACAAACCTAATTTAACCAATTTTGGTGGGAAAATATTGAGCCAAAAGAGGAAATAAAAGCTCTTTTCCCCCCGCCTCCATCCGTCGTATTCGTCCTCCTCTTCTTCTTCTACTCTCGTATTTGCTTGCTTGCTTTCCTTTCTTGCTGTTCTCTTCATCTTCCACTTCTTATTCTTCTTCTTATTTGCGTACATTGCGGGTCTTCGCTGGTAATGCTTGTGCTTTCTTTTTCTTGAATCAGTTTTTTACCTAATATGTAACTAGTAGTCCAAATTTGGTTTTGTTCAATTGGAATTATTTCATAAGCATTATACACCATTGTTTCTGGTAAGTACAATTAATAGTTATTTAAAATCAATTATTATCATCTGATTAGGGTACCTGCATTTTTTTTTTCAATAATTTGCATTCGCATTTCCAACATATTGTTATATATGTTGCAACAATTGACTATTATAACATATTATTGCCATATGTAGCAACATGTGATTTATTTTCACAACATTATAGTCATATTTAGCAATATATGACTTACATCTCGCAACAGAATAGTCATATGTAGCAACATGTGATTTATTTTCACAACAGAACATTCATATGTAGCAACATATGATTTAATCTCACAACAGAATAGTCATATGTTGCTACTTATGATATAACTAAAAAATGTATCAACATGTTGATTTAGTTTTTACAACAGAATAGTCATATGTAGCAACATATGACTTACATCTCGCAATAGAATAGTCATATGTGCTACATATGATATAACAAAAATGTAGCAACATGTGATTTATTTTTCACAACAGAACCGTCATATGTAGCTACATATGACTCAAATATCGCCACATTATAGTCATATGTTGCTACATATGCTTATTCTTCATAATTGGTAATTGTTTTTTTAGTTATTTTTTTCAGGTACAATGTCACTATTTGTAGGGATTGATTTTCGTGGTGAATGGTCAAGAAGAAAAATCGATTCATATGTTGTTGGGAGGATAGTAAAAAATGAGGAGCCGATTCAGCAGAGATGTATGTCGAAAGAAACATTTTGTATGATGAGTTCTTTAATTTAGTTGTGCAAAAGTCTGGATATAATTGTAAACCGCAAGATCTTATCATGAGTTACATTCCCCATTTTTTTTTATAATGAGAAGATTTTACCTTTTAGAATAACTGATCAATCTAGTTTGATTGTTTATTTGGGAGGAGCAGAGAAACCGCCAATATTAAGAGTCTACGTGGACGAAACTCCTAATGAGGAGGATCATAATGTAGACCAAGGACAATAAGATATGTTTAATGAAGAATTTCATCCTACGGATGTGAATAATCTAGATGATGAAATTGGAGTAGGTGAAGGTGAAGCGCAAACTGAAGGGTCAGACCTTGAGAGCAAGTTTCCAGGCGAAGCTCAAACTGAAGGGTCAGACCTTGAGAGCAAGTTTCTTGCCACACCTATAGTTGGCAGAAACAATCCATGTGCTTCTCAAACTTCACGTGTGAATAATGTTAGAGATGATGAAACATGATTTTATAAGGGAATGACATTCAAGAACAAGCCAGAACTGGCAAATTCATTGACAATTGCTTGCTTGAAAGAAGATTTTAGACTGAAAAAGGTGATCACTTCTTATAATGTGTTTTCCTTTAAATTTTCATATCCAGATTGCAATTGGTGGCCGAGGTATGTATTTACAAGTAGTGACAGGTTTGATATTAGAATCTATGAAAAGTACCATACGTGTGGTTCACAACATCTTACAAGCCATAATCCCCACGCCACGGAAAAAGTCATAGGCAAGTACTTTGAAAATAGGTTTCCCAATGGTAAAGTCCCATACACAAGAGATATGTCAAATTAACTCCTCATAGAAATGGGTTGTAAGGTAAGATATTGGAAGATTTATAAGGGCATGGATCATGCTAAGTCTAATGTTAGGGGAACACATGAGCACGAATATGCAGTTCTTAGTGCGTACCGGTATATGCTTGAAGTTCCGAATCGAGGAAGCAAGATGGCATTGTCACTCGATGAAAATGGGAGGTTCCAGTACTTCTTTGTATCATATGCTGCTTGGATAATTGGTTTTCAAGAAATGAGAAAAGTAATAGCCGTTGATGTTACATTTATATGGAGAAAGTATGGAGGAGTTCTACTATCGGCAGTGGCACAAGTTGCCAAGAATAATATATTTCCATTGGCTTTCTGTGTCGTGGACAAGGAATGTGATGCCTCATATGAATATTTCTTTCAAAATATGAGAAGCTTTCTAGATGATACAGATGAGTTGTGCATTATCTCTGATAGGCATCCAAGTATTCGAAAGATGGTTTTGAGAATCTACCCTGTATCTCACTATGATTGTTGCATGAGACACCTTGGGGAAAATATTCGAAATAACTTTCACAATTCAAAGGCAGTGTCCCATTTTTATAAATTAGCAAAGGCGTGCGATATAAGTGAGTTCAATGGTCATTTCAATAAAATAAGAGATTTGGTACCAAAGTCCGCTGAAACTCTTGAATGTATTGGAATTCACACATGGAGTAGGGAATTTTGCCCGGGAAATAGGTACCATCTCAATTGAGTTTATTTTTACTTTATGTGTTTTGTTTGATTTTTATCTGTTGTTGTGTAGATATAATATTATGACGTCAAATATTACAGAATCGGTAAATGCTATGTTTGATGTTGAAAGAGAATTTCCCATTGTCGCTCTATTTGATGAAATAAACAGGAGATTTGCATTGTTATTTCACTAGAGGCTTACGGAACTGGTGCACTCTGCAAATAGATTTGTTCCTTCTATTGAAAAAGACATATCAGAGTATGTCAACGCGGGCAACAAGTTATTGTCCCATCAAATAGCTAACTACAAGTTCAGTGTCATTGGTCATGAAGATGTTGCTACAGTGGATCTACAAAGAAGAACTTGTACTTGTAGAATTTTTATATGGACAAAATACCTTGTCCACATGCCATGACAGTGATTCGATCCCAACATGGTGATGATTTTGGAAATCATATTTACTTGTACTCCTCTCCCATATAATTTAGTGGAAAAATACATGATGGCATATTTTCAGGAAATTCACCTGATATCAACTGAAGATTCTTGGATTGTGGCTTTGGATATCACACAAAGAGAAATACTTCCTCCATATGTTGATCAAAGTAATACCAGAAGAAGGACATATAAGAGACAGTGTGGAGTAGGTGAATCATTTCCAACAAGAAAAAATAAGTGTTCAGTATGTAGGGACTTTGGCCACAAAAAAACTACAAGCCCAAATTGAAATGCCTCATAAGAAGTGTTAAGCATTGTCTTTGTCGAATTTTAATGAATGTTCTTTCTTATTTGAGGATGATCTCTATTATATAATCTTATTTAGAAATGCCCTAATGCGTGATTCCTTGCTCTTCTTTCTTTTTGTGTTAACATATGTCAAATGTCGCTACAGGATATACTAGATGTGGCAACATATGCAACAAATGTTGCTACAGGTGAATCATCTGTAGCAACATATGCCACATGTTGTGATTCTCCTGTAGCAACATTTGTTGCATATGTTGCCACATATAATACATCTAAAAGCACACTCCAACGTAATCATTAGTTAAAAGTTTATGTCGCCATAGATGATTATCTGTAGAAACATATGACTCAAATGTTGCTATATATAATCATCTGTAGCAACATATGACTCAAATATTGTGACGGACAAATGTTGCGATGTATGCATCAGTTTTAGCAACATTTGACTCAAATATTTCTACATATAATCATCTGTAGCAATATCTACTTTTAAATAATGATTACGTGGGACAATGCTTTTAGATATATTAGATGTGGCAACATATGCAATAAATGTTGCTACAAACGAATCAGCTGTAGCAACATATGCCACATCTTGTGACGGAAAAATGTTGCTACATATAATCATATGTCGCAATATATAACTCAAATGTTGCTACATATAATTATTTGTAGCAACATATACTTTTAAATAATGATTACGTGAGACTGTGCTTTTAGATATATTAGATGTGACAACATATACAATAAATGTTGCTACAGACGAATTAACTGTAGCAACATATGCCACATGTTGTGACAGACGAATGTTGCTACATAGAATCATCTGTAGCAACATATGTCTCAAATGTTGCTACATATAATCATCTGTAGCAAAATATACTTTTAAATAATGATTATGTGGGACTGTGCTTTTAGATATATTAGATATGGCAACATATGCAATAAATGTTGCTACAGACGGATCAACATATCCAATTAATAATTACAACTCTTTAGTTCACTCTGTTGAAACGTCATGTCTTGCAACATTTCAAAATTGTTGGCCTTTATAAGAACACAAGAAGGGAGAGATAAGTAAAAAGTTGTCTTCTCTTATTATCTTCTTCTTCATTCTGAAAAATGGCTTCAACTAGTTTAAACCTCTTCGAATCCTTTTCGACTGAACTAGTAATTCTTTTCGTTGAAAGAGTTGCTTCCACCTCTCTAGAAGAAGATTTAGTTAGTGTTAAATTATGTTCTAGGTTCTTCAATGGAGTTGGTAATGAACGTTCTGTATATCAGAAGGTTACATTGGACAACTTTTCCACTGAACCTACATGGACGACGAATCAACATGCCGTGTCTTTCATGAATATTTGCATAGGATCGGAGAACTTAGAAGCCTTATATACAAAAGGCGTGGTAATTTTACTGTTTTTATTTCTTTTTCACCTTGCATCAATTTATTTTGTAATCTTAATGTGTTGTTTCTTTTATAGTTTAATTTTTTCAATCGTAATGATCTAACTGCATTGAGAATGGTTAAAAAAGCAGCAGAAGGTGGCCATGGAGGTTCAGAGTATGTGCTTGCCGTAATTTCAATATTTGAAGGTTGTATTTCCTTGAGAGAAGGCTTGATGTACATTGCCAACATAAAAAAAATATGCCAGTAATAGTTAGAAGATGTCGACGCCATTTGCAGTGCATTTTAAATCGAATGTGGGTGCAAGAACCTAATATTTTGGGTGTAAGACCCATTTGTTGCACTGTGCATCAACCCCAACAAAATGCCCGCAGGATTGATTGGCCCAGAGGAAGTGACGATGAAGGCGATATTCATTGCGAATTGTGTATTTGTGATTTAGAACTAGATTATCTAGTTAAATTTCTTTCGCATACTACTGTGCGGGAATAATTTAATTTAATCTGTGTTGAAGACGATGTTGATTTTATTATTTTTTGTATTTATTTTGAAATTGTATATATGAAAGCTTATTATATTACATATAGTGAAATTGTGCCTTCACTTGTTTCGTACTTATTTTTGAATTATAATTTAACAAATTATTGTCGTACACAACACTCTTCATTGTTATACATTATTATTATTGATTATTTATGTTCTACATAGATCGAATCATCTATTAGTGTCTCCTTGATTTTTCATTTGTAGCAACATATGCAGTTTTTGTTGTTAAATTTGCAACGTATAACGAAACAATTGCAACATATAATTATAACAAATGACTTTTTGGGTCTTAATTCAATTAAATTGTCACGTAATTCGACATGTAACACATAGTCCTACAACATGTCTAAGTAACAGATTATGGTCGTTAACAACACTCTCTATTGGATTATAGCAATTATATTTATAAAGACAATCATCTCACTAGTTCATCATATATTGTCCTAGTAAATCAATATGTTAGTTGTATAACACCCTTCTAAATCGTTGTTCCAAATGTTATACCTTATTATTATTGATTATTTATGTTCTAAATCACTAAAATTTGGTTCAAATTTCCATTTTTCCTTTCGTAAATCGATCGAATCGTCTATTAGTGTCTCATTAATTTTTCATCTGTAACAACATATGCAGTTTTTGTTGTTAAATTCGCAACATATAATGAAGCTGTTGCAACATATAATTATAACAAATGACTTTTTTGGTGCTTAATTCAATTAAATTGTCACGTAATTGGATATGTAACACTAATGTATAGTATTACAACATGTCTAAGTAACAAATTATGGTCGTTAACAATACTCTCCATTGGATTATAGCAATTATATTTATAAAGACAATCATCTCACTAGTCCATCATACATTGTCCTAGTAAATCCATATGATAGTTATATAACACCCTTCTAAATAATTGTTCCAAATGTTATACCTTATTATTATTGATTGTTTATGTTCTAAATCACTAAAATTTGGTTCAAATTTCCATTTTTCCTTTTCTAAATTGATCGAATCGTCTATTAGTGTCTCCTTGATTTTTCATCTGTAGCAACATATGCAATTTCTGTTACTAAATTTGCAACATATAACAAAACTGTTGCAATATATAATTATAACAAATGACTCTTTTTTAAAAGTGGCCCAATGATAGACAAAGCCCATTATGTTTAACAAAAAGTAAAATAGGCCACACCCATTCTAGTATACGTTTTCATTTCAAGAATAGGGTTTTCAAATTTTTCATCTTTGCCGCTTCAGTTTTGGCACCATTTTTCAAATCTAATTTGATTTTTTATCAGTCACACTGTTCTATATTTGATTCGCCTTTGGTTAAACCAAATTTCGGTACTCCAATGGTATGATGTGAAATGCTATACTAAGTCAAATTTACGATGATGAAAATGATACTATGTTGAATGTTAAAATGTATTGCAATCATGGAGATCTAATTTCAATGCAAACTTCATGGTCAAAAGACAATCCAGGTCGCAGATTTTGGTCTTGTCCACGATATCGTGTATGTTTATTTATTTCTAAAATATTTTGTAGATTTCAAATCTCTTTATTTTTTTAATTAAAATTTATTTCTTTGTGGTATTTTAGGAGAATTCATGCAACTTTTTTTAGATGGAGGGATCATGAAGATGTTGATATAAGATCCAAGTTCGTTATTCTCCGATTGGCGAACAAAGTTAAGAAGTTGGACACTGTTGATGAAAGTCATATCAAAAGATTACCAAGAAGAATTTTGTAGAGGATACAAAATTATTATGTATTTGTGTACAATCAATACAATTGTCATAGTTGTGCAATTAAATAGACGTAGTTTTGTACTCCTTATCAAACAACAAATTATTATGTAGTCGTGACGGATGAATGTTGCAATATACGCTTCAGATGTAGCAACATATGACTCAGATGTTGCTACATATAATCATTTGTAGCAATATTTGACTAATATGTTGCTACATATATACCAACATATGAATCAAATGTTGCTACAACTGATTCGTCTGTAGCAACATATGCCACATGTTGTGAGGGACGAATGTTTCGATATACACATCAGCCGTAGAAACATGCGACTTAGATGTTGCTACATATAATTATCTGTAGCAACATCTAACTCAAATGTTGCTACATGTAATCACCTATACAACCATATGACCCAAATGTTGCTACAGCTGATTCGTCTGTAGCAACATATGCCACATGTCGTGATGGACGAATGTTGCGATATACGCATCAGCTGTAGCAACATCTGACTCAAATATTGCTACAACTGATTCGTCTGTAGCCACATATGCCACATGTTGTGACGGACGAATGTTGCGATATACGCATCAACTATAGAAACATATGACTCAGATGTTGCTACATATAATCATCTATAGCAACATCTGACTTATATGTTGTTACATATAGTCACCTATAACAACATATGACTCAAATGTTGCTACAGCTATTGGTCTATAGCAACATATGTCATATGTTGTGAT